ATAGTTTGTATTGCTACATCTTAAGAGTGACTTTCTCTCTCTCTCTCTCTCTCTCTCTCTCTCTCATTAAACCCAGGAGCATTTTACCACTGAGTTACAACCCCAACCATTAAAAAAATATATTTTGGGACAGAGTCTGGCAAAATTGCTGAGAATCTGGCTAAGGTTCTGTGGCTGACCTTGAATTTGCCATCCTGGTGCTCAGCCTCCAGAGTCTGGGATTACAGGTGTGTGCCACTATGCTCAGCCTAACTCATTTTTTCAACTGTAATGTCTGACTTAATGTTTATTTTTGTGGAACATAATGCATAACATAAAATTTGTCATTTCAACCATTTTACATGTGGAATTTAATAGCAATAAGTACATTCACAATGTGGTGCAGTCATTACTGCTATGTGTTTCCACATTTTTTGTTTTACCTTTTTTTAATCTGTTTGTTTTAGGTATCAGGGATTGAATCCAGGGTGCTTACCCACTGAGCAACATCCTCAGCTTTTTAAATTTCTTATTTAGAGACAGGTTTCACTAAGTTGTTGAGGGCCCAAGTTGCTGAGGCAAGCCTTGGACTTTGACCCTCCTGCCTCAGCCTCCTGATGTGCTGAAATTACAGGCATGTGCAACAGTGCCCAGATTTTTCACCAATCTCACCAGAAACTCTGGCCCCATTAAATAATAACTCCTAGCTGGTCATGATGGTGCTCACCTGTACTCTCAGCTACTAGGAAAACTGAAGCAGGAGAATTACTTGAGCAAGATTAAGAGAATTACATAGCAAGATCCCAACCCAAACAAACAACAATAACAAAAATAAACAATTAACTTCATGCTGTTAAGCTACATTCTACTTTCTCTCTCTCTCTCTCTCTCTCTCTCTCTTTCTTTTTCATTGCTAGAGATAGAACACAGGGCCCCTGCTTTACCATTGAGGGATACCCTTGGCCCCTCTACTTTTTCTCTCTGTGAGCTTTCTAAGTACTTCATGCAAGTGGAAGCATATAATAACTGTCCTGTGTTTGGCTTATTATGCCTGGCATAATGTTTTCAAAGCTCATCTGCATTGTAACTTTGATCATTACTTCCTTCTTTTCAGGGATGGTTGATATTACATTGTGTGAATGTTCCATAGTTTGTTCCTAAGTTGATGGATGCTTGGGTGGTTTCCACTGCAGTCTTTTGGCTATTGAGAAAACCACAGATAGGAAAAGTGGTGGATATGTATCTGTTTAAGTCCTTGATTTTAGTATGGTTTGATACATATTGTATCATTTGTATGCATATGTGCACATATATACATGCTGTGTAGGAGGGGAGAGGCTATGTCATTGGGTAATTGGGTGTTCATGCTTACCAGCAATGCCCAAGAGTTTAAATTTCTACAAATCCTCATGATCACTGATTATTTTATTTAAAACAACAACAAACAGGACTGGGTTGTGGCTCAGTGGTAGAGCACTTGCCTAGCATGTGTGAGGCTCTGGATTTATATTTTTTATTTTGAGACAAGAGTCTGGCTAAGTTGCTGAGGTTGACCTAGAACTTGTGATCCTTCTGCTTTAGAATCCTGAGTCACTGTAATCACAGGTTCATGTTATCCTGACTGCTTGTTTTTCCTTTTTCTTTTCTTTCTTTCTTTTTTACACAATACCATTTATTTATTTATTTAATGTGGTGCTTAGGATCAAACCCAGTGCCTCCCATGTCCTAGGCAAGTGCTCTACAACCAAGCTAGGACCCCAGCCCTTCTTTCTTTTTTTGAAACAGGGTCTTGCTGGGTTGCCCAGGTGACCTTACTCCAACTTTATGTGTAGATTTTTTTCAGTTACTTTTCAGAATTAGGGATAGACAATGAAAATTCACAGGGCTTATTGCTTTTTTAATTACCTATGATTATTATTTGTTTGTTTGTTTATTTTGTACCAGGGTTGAACCCAGAGACACTTTACCATTGAGCCAAATCTCCAAATCCCCTTTTTTATTTTTTTATTTTGAGACAGGGTCTTACTAAGTTGCTTAGAGCCTAGGCTAAGTTGCTGAGGCTGGCCTCAGACTGGAGATCCTCCTGCCTCAGCCTCCTGAGTTGCTGGGATTAGAAGTGTGCGTCACACGCCCAGCTAACAACCTATGAAAAATTAAATAATATAAATGGAATTACATTGAATGGTGGTGTTACCTTTATTTCTACCAACTGGTTTTCCCTTAATAAAGAAGTCCTCCAGAAACTGCGTTGAGCCATTTTCTAGAAAGGGAAAGTCAGTTTGCGCCCTCTTGTGGTGAGGACAAGCAGTAGCATCCATACCTCCTTAAGTATGCGGACTTCTCAAGGTTTCTGCTGAGAGGACCCCTCCACCCCGCCCCACCGCGCCCCACCGGCCCCACCCCCGGTAATTTCCAGCAGGTAAAGGTCTGTGTAGAATATGCTCTGTGTATCCATAATAAGCAGGTTCTGTGACAAATTAAAGAGAACAGAATCAAATAAAAGAGATGTGGTCCTCATCCAAGATATCATAGTTTTATCCTAGATGACAGTTTTGAATGAATAATTTAAATTGGGAGACAGGAGAGAGCATCAGATGGGTTCAGTCAGGGGATAGTAGAGTGCAGGAAAGGAAAACTTCTTCATATAGTCTAGCATTCAGTTACAAAACTGACTCAATGGGTCAGTCAGTGGTGGTGGATGTGGGATGGAGAGAGGGTTTCAACTGATAAACTAGAGGCTGGAGATGTAATTCTGTGGTAGAGGGCTTTCTTGGCATGCATGAGCCCTGGGGTTGATCCCCAGCAACACACACACACACACACACACACACACACACAGGTGTGAGGGGAGTAAACTGGACATTTAAATCCTCAGAGACCCCAGATGGCAACCATCCACTGTGAAGTTCAGGGAAGAGAAAAGGGACAGTTCACACTTTTTTTTTAGCTCTTTTCCACAATAATTTCTTAATGTGGAAATAATAGTTTGCCAGCACATTTGTTTTTTTTTCTCAAAGAAATAATTTTTATTTGCCAGTTTTTTAATCAACATAAAATATGTTAGAAATTTCCTCTTTTGTACATAAACAGAAGGAAAACAGGAATTCTGCAGACTTCTTTTTTTAAGTTATCTTTTAGTTGTAGTTGGACACAATATCTTTACTTATTTTATTTATTTTTATGTGGTGCTGAGGTTTGAACCCAGGGCCTTGCACGTGCCAGGCAAGCACTCTGCCCCTGAGCCCCAGCCCCAGCCCCAGCCCCCAGCAGACTTCTTATTCAATACAATTGAAGGTCTTTGTCTCATTTAACTAATTGAATATTGGTATTGGAGCAGGTGAATAACTTATAGAGAGGGGAGCAGAGGCCTGTGGCCAGTGACTCCAAACTGAGGCCAAGCCTGAGCCTGCAGAGGAGGGCAATGAAGTTTCTCTTGGTGCATCCTGGGCAGGCGCCCTCTCCTGGATGTGGTCTCCAGCTGCTTAGAATAGTTAACAGAAGCAAAGTTGATGCTGGAAAACTTAAGAGCTCTGGGAGGCAGGGAACCCACATGCAGATGTAGTTGGGGGTGTGTGCCTGTCCTTTCTGAGGCTGTGGCTCTGGTTGCATGGGACTGTTTTCTGATAAGTATTTTGGTTGTGGCTTACAGAGTTACTGGAGTTACCTTCACAATTATACCCTGTGAAGGTCAGGTTTAGAGACTCAGTCTCCTGGAAAAAGAGTTTATGATTTTGACAGTTTCTTTAGGGCAGAACCCTAATGTGATTCCAAATGGGTGTCCCTCTGGAGAATATTAAGGTATCAAGAAAGGGAGAGTTTCCACACTATAAGGAGGGGACAGCAGCACATGGTGAGCTCCCAGAGTTAAGTCTTTAGATGTCCTGCTTCAGAACCAGGGAGTGATCCACAATGGGCTCCATTTCAGCAGAATCTGCTCCCAAGACAGCATTATGATAACCTCTGAATGTGGGGTTTCTTTATGAACTGTGGGTGAAACAGGATGCTTACCTGAACTACATGATATGTTTACTTTTCTCTCTTTTCAATTCCTTTATAGAATACCGATGCCATATAATTCCAGTTTTTCCATGTCTTTCATGTTTGTTCTCTCCTTAGAGTGTTTTCATTTTCCTGGATGAAAATGAGTAGTTTTCAAGATAAAATTTAAAATTTCATAAAGCTTTGGTCATGCTTTTGATAACATCAACCTCACATCAAGCTATTCCTCCTGTTCTAGTCTGGTCTGACCTGGCCTGAGATCCTCAACTCCTGTGAGGCCAGGGGATTGCTTCATCGGACGACGCTGAGTCTGGAATTCCCTGAGCCCATTGTGACCCCGAGTCTAGTAGGAAAAATGGGAGGGCTGGGGTTGTGGCTCAGCTGTAGAGCGCTCCCCTAGCACGTGTGAGGCGCTGGGTTCGATCCTCAGCACTACATAAAAATAAATAAAATAAAGGTATTATGTCCACTTATTTTTAAAAAAGGTGGCGGGGGTGGGGGGAAGCTTCATGAATACAGGTAAGATGCCAGTGTCTGGGCTGGGGCTGGGGCTGGGGCTCAGTGGTAGAGCGCTTGCCTCGCACGGGTGAGGCACTGGGTTCGATCCTCAGCACCACATAGTGTGTGTATGTGTGTGTGTGTGTGTGTGTGTGTATATATATATATATATATATATATATATATCTACAATTAAAAAAAAAGAGAGAGATCTAAAAAAAGATGCCAGTGTCTTCTCTGGAAAGCCAAGAGTTAAGTTCTCCCGAAATGCAAATATTCACCTACTTTGCCTCCCTTTATCAGGCAAGGTTCCGGGGAGAAGAGAAAACCCAGTCTGAGAAAGGATGGAGGCTGGGACCTGTCATTCCCGCTCCGCTTGCTTCTTCTTTCGATATTCGGGGGCGGGGCCTGAACCGTATCCAATCAGGAGCAAAGGGGTGGGCTGTGGGCTGTCCAATCCGGCGGCGCGACCCCGCCGCGCCCGCGGGTGTTCAACATTCTCGCGGGATCTTATTTCTCGCACCCCCCAGCTCCACTGCGGTTTGGCTTTCCTGCTACAGGGGGGCGGGTCGCTCTGCGGTTCCGGGACCGAGCTGTACGCGGGTTGCGGGAGCCGTGGGGAGAACCCAGGAGCTCTCGGAAGCGGGGAAACGGTGAGTGAGGGGCGGGGCGTTCTGAGATGGGGCTGAGGCTGTTGGAACTGGCCCTAGGGGGACCCCGGCCTCCCTGCCTCAGTTCCGCAGTCTGTGGCCCTGTCAGCCGCTGGCGCCTCTGGGTCCTCGGGCACCTCGGCCCCGCGGGGTGGGGCCGGGCGGGGGGCCCGGACCCACTGTCCTCTCCTGTACCTGCGCGGCGACTTGGGCCGGGCCAGGAGCCCTCTCTGGGCAGCGCCGTGTCGCCCCCGACTGTGCGGTGGCGGCGGAAGGGTCGTGGGGACATCTCTCATGAGGGGTTCGTGCGCTGAAGAAGCTGTGGTCGGTGGGGACCTCTGTCCCTCCTTTTCCCGCTCCAGGGTCATCGTTTTCCCCTTGAGTTTTACAGATGTATGGGAAACAGTGTCACAAATCCATATCCCTGTCCCCATGCCCAAATGCCAACTGTCCCCCTCCAGTTCACAACATCAGTGTCAACTATTCATCTTTCGATTTGCATCTCATAGGGACATCGCATTTTAATTGCTTAGTTTCCCACAAAGCAATGAATGACGTTCTTTAAAAGGTGTATTTTGTTTGGAATCTTTTCAACCAAGAGTAAAGCAGAGGAAAACTTCCTGACACTCCACTGTAAGAATCTTCCAATCTCCTTTGTTATATTATCTAGACACAGACGCCTTTTAAGAATGTCTCTGGGGGCTGGGGTTGTGGCTCAAAGGTAGAGCTTTCGCCTGCCACGCATGAGGCACTGGGTTGGATCCTCAGTACCACATAAAAATAAGATAAAGATATTACATCTATCTATAACTACAAAATAAATATTAAAAAAAAAGAATGTCTTTGGGTAGAGGGTTCCCTTTAGAAACTTTATAGGTACTAGGTGTGGGTGGACCTCTCCAGTAATCCCAGCAATTCAGGAAGCTGGGCAGGAGAATCAAAAGTTTGAGGCTAGCCTCAGTAACTTATCCAGACCTCCATCTCAAGATTAAAAATTAAAAAAAGGGCTGAGGATGAAGCTTAATGATAGAGTGTCCCTGGGTTCAATCCCCAGCACCGCAGTGAATGAATGAATGAATGTAAGTAAGTGCATAACCTTGTTGAGACCAAAACTCCATAAGGCCAATGTTGATCCTGCAAAGAGAGGTCATTGAAGTCCTGCCTAGTTGGTTCTTCCTGGGGAGCCTTCTCTGTGTCCTGCTTGCCCACACCAACTATGGCAGGCACCCTTTAAATGGAGAAGATGTACTGAACAGCTGGGGATGCATATGCTGATGGGGTTGGGTCGAAGAGGGGGTCTTGATGTCCTCTCTCCTTCTTTCTTTTTAGTGGTGCTAGGGATGAAACCTGGGGCCTTGTGCATGCTAGGCCAGCATTCTGTCACTGAATTACACATTCTGTCCTTAATACCTTTTCTGAAGGTGTTATTTGCACTAGGGCTGTTTCTGGACAGTGTCTTTCAAACAAAATCCTGATAGAGGTGTGAAGTGATTTTATTTGAAAGGAATATTGTAATAGGGAGAAACCCCTAGTATCTCAACAGTTAATGAGGAGCAAAGGAGTAGAAAACAGGTGGAGTCCTGCATGGTGGTGCACACCTGTAATCCCTGAGGCCAGAGATTCTGTATGACAATAGATAAGGCCAGAGGATGGCAAATTCCAGGCCAGCCTCGGTAACTTGGTGAGACCCTGTCTCAAAATAAAAAGGGCCAAATATATCTCAGTAAAGTGTCCCTTTGTCCCCAATACCAGGGGGAGGGAGGAAGGTGGAGATCAGGGGATGACAGAGTGTCGCAAAAATAAGGTCTAGACCAGAGAATGTTTTCCCCTGAGGTCAACCTGTTCTTAAGAGAACATTAAGGAAGGGGCTGTCTGCTAGTTTAGGTTGAGAGGGCTCACTCCTAAGCAGGTGATTCAAGAAATTTAATTCTGGCACCTCCACACCCTACTGTCTCCTCCTCTTTCAGGGTCTCAATTCTCACCTGCACAGGAGGGTGATCTTCAGGTTTGGGAGTATGTTTCACCTTCTGAGTGTGGGTCCCCTTGTGAACTGTGGGTGAAGCAGGCTGCTTCCCTTAGCTGCTTCCCCCTTGTTCCCTTTGTGGGATCTTGTTGCCACTGGATCATACTGTGTCCATGTGCTTAGGCATGGGATTCCATGGCATAGGTGTAAGAGTTTTTCTTGTTTGGAACCCGAGTGGATTGAATAATAAGATCTGAAGTGACAAAGAGAGTCTTGAAATAAATCATTTATTCTATGCTTAGTTTATACAATAAGAATATAAACATGCATGGACTCACCACCCAGGTGACTAAATTGACTATGGTCAGTTATGCTATGACTCCTTGATGTCACCACCTATCTGCACTCAGAGGTCACCACTGTCCCAATTGTTTTCATTATTCTGTAGAGCATACCATCTGTTTATCATGAAGCAGAATTTTGCCTCTTTTTAGAGTTCAGTAAGTTAATATTACTATCAACATACCATTGATATTGTGCCGAAGGGCTTTTCTTGTGCTTTCTTTGCCTTAGTCTGTTGCACACATGCTGCTGAGGCACGGCTCACACAGTTCATTCACCATCTACTGCTATAAGATTTACGTTGTTTCGAGTTTGTTCTTTAATTAGTTATTTTGCATGCTGAGAATTGAACCCAGGACCTTGCATTTGCACATGCTAGGCAAGTGCTTTGCCACTGAGCTAGATCCCCAGCTCTCAAGGTGTTTTCTCTCTCTCTCTCTCTCTCTCTCTCTCTCTGTGTGTGTGTGTGTGTTATTGGGGATTAAACCCAGGGGTGCTTTACCATGAGCTACACCCCTGGACTTTCTAATTTATTTTTTGAGACAGGGTCTTACCAAATTGCCCAGACTAACCTGGAACTTGGAATCCTCATGCCTCCTGAATAGTATGCACCACCACACCCAACCCAAGTTTATTATTGTTTATTATTATTGTTGTTATTTTCAGTCCCGGGGAATTGAACCTAGGCGTGCTCTACCACTGAATTACATCCTCAGTCCTGCCTCTCCCGGCCTTTTTTTGCACTAGGGATTTAACCTAGGGGTACTTTACCTCTGAGCTATATCACTAGCTCCCTAACCCTTTAAAAAATTTTTTTTAGGTCTTGCTAAGTTGCCCAGGCTGGTCTTGTGATCCTCTTGCCTCTGCCTCATGAGTAGCTAGGATTATAGGCATGTGCCACTGTGCCTGGCTGAAGTTTGTTTTTGATGTTGTTGACAGTGTCATTCTTGTTTTTGTCCACAAGTTTTAATGCCTTGAAAACTTTTTATACAATGGGGAAAATGGCTAGGTTGTTGGTTATGGATAAATTCAGATTTAATAGGAAATGTTGCTGGAGCATATGTAATAACTGTCTGACCTTTCCTAAGTATTTATTCTTGAAATTTGTCAATGCTTCCAATTATCTAATTAATTTTTTCATCTATTGTCATACAGAATCTCCAATGGTCATATATTACTTTTACATAGTCATGTTCTGCATAATGACATTTCAGCCAACAACGGACCCTGTGTAGGATAGTAGTCGCTAGCAGCCTCCTACAGCTGGTGGTTTACTGCATCTTTTGATTGTTCTCATATACTCAATTTAATTTTATGCTATTATGTTCATCATGGCTCCTACTCACACAAAATCCATTGCTAAAGTTGCCAGTAAGAGGCCACGTTGAGTGATTGACCTAGAAACAAAATTAAAATTGATTAAGGACTATGAAGGTGGGAAATCAGTAATGGTTATTGCTCGCCAATCAGGAATGTCCCATTCCACCATAGCTACAATCTTGAAGAACAAGAACAAAGTGACAGAAGCTCTTAAAGGATCTGCCTCATTGAAGGCCACCAGACTAACAAAAATTCGAGAAGGGCCCATATCAGATATGGAGAAACTTCTAATGACCTGGATTGAAGAGCAGACACGGAAGCGGGTCCCTCTCAGTACTATGATGATTACAGCTAAAGCCAAAAGTTTGTTTGCAATGTTGAAGGAAAAGGCTGGACCTGACTATAATGTTGAATTCACTGCCAGCTCTGGGTGGTTCAAGCGATTCAAGAATCGCTATTCATTACATAATGTGAAAGTGAGTGCTGATGTCACCAAGGAGTGTATGAATGGCATCTGGAAGAAGACACTCAAGAGGTTCGTCCATGATTTCAAAGGATTTGCTCAGGAAGAGGAAGGCGCAAACATGGACAAGGCTGTGGTTGAGATGGCCAACAACTTTACTCTGGGTATGGAGGAGGATGACATGGAGGATGATGACATGGAGCTCCTGGAGGTGGTTCCTGAGGAACTGACCAGTGAGGAGTCATTGGACCAGGAGTGCAAAGCCCAAGAAGAAGCAAGAGAAAAGGAAACTGCAAAAGAAGAGAAAGAACTTCCAAGAAAATTCACAGTGACGGGCCTAGCAGAAGCTTTTACAGACCTCAACAAGCTCCTTAAAAAGTTTGAAAGCATGGACCCCAACCCTGAAAGGTTTTCATTAATAGAGAAGAATGTTCATGGTGCATTATCTGTGTACAAACAGATCTATGAGGCAAAAAGGAAGCAAACCACCACAGACATATTTCTGCGAAGAGTGACACCTCAAGAGCCTCAGGCAGGTCCCTCAAGAGGCATTGTCATCATAGGAGATGATGGCACTATGCGCATTATTGCCTCTGAGGACCTTCCGGTGGACCATGTCAGAGAGGGGGAAGTCAGTGATATTGATGATCCTGATCTTGTGTAGGCCTAGGCTCATTCGTATGTTCATGTCATAGTTTTTAACAAAAAAGCTAAGAAGTTTAAGAAAAATTAAAAATCAAAAAAAGCTTCTAGAATAAGGATATAAAGAAAAGATTTTTATACAGCTGTGTAATGTGTCTGTTTTAAGCTGTTAGTACAAAAGAGTCAAAGGTTTAACATCTTAAAAAGTTGATAAAGTAAAAAAGTCTGGTAAGGTTAATTTGTTATGGAAGAATGAAAAAATTATATATTTTAATAAACTGGAATAACTTAAGTGTACAGTGTTGATAAAGTCTACAGCAGTGTACAGGAATGTCTGCAGCCTCCACATTTACCCCTCACTCGCTGATAACCAGAGAAACGTCCAGTCCTGCAAGCTCCATTCATGGTAAGTACCCTCTACCTGTGTACCATTGATTATTTTTTATCTTGTTTTTGCTGTACCTTAGACACACAAATACTTAACATTGCATTACAGCCAAGCATGGTGGTACATGCCTATAACCCCAGCAGCTTGGGAGGCTGAGGCAGGAAGATCACAACTTCAAAACCAGCCTCACCAACAGTGAGGTGCTTAGCAACTCAGTGAGACCCTGTCACTAAATAAAATACAAAATAGGGCTGGGGATGTGGCTCAGGGGTCGAGTGCCTCTGAGTTCAATCCCTGGTAGCAAAACAAAAACAAACAAACAAACAAACAAACAAAAAAAACCCATTGCATTATACCTGTCATTGTGTGAAAGCAATATTGTATTTTATACTTTTAAAATTTTTTGTGTGTGCTAAAACTGGGAATGAACCACATGTATGTTTATGTCATAGTTTTTAACAAAAAAGTTGAAGAAGTTAAAAGGTTATAGAATAAGAATATAAAGAAAGAAAATATTTTGTACAGCTGTGTAATGTGTTTGTGTTTTAAACTAAGGGTCCAGTGTTCAGTAACAAGCTGTCAAGGTTTGTTGCCTGGGAACAGTCGGCTATGGCATATGGCCTGAGTGTAGGAGCTGTCCTGCCAGAGTTGCACACTCTGATGTACACACAATGGAAAACACCTAATTAAACATCTCTCAGAACGTGTTCCCTTTGTTAAGTGATGCATGATTTTAATAAAAATAAACAAAAAAGAAAAAAAGTGACATTCTTCTACTGGTCACCCCTGGTTTTGAGCATTTTCCTTCATGTCTTTAAACTTCTATGAAATAGTTTTCAGTCATTTTTTAAAATATATATATTTTTTAATTGTAGTTGCATACAATACCTTTATTTTATTTATTTCTATGTGCTGAGGATTGAACCCAGGGCCTTATACGTGCTAGGTGAGTACAGTACCACTAAGTCACAACCCCAGCCTGTTTTCAGTCATTTCTTATGATTAATTCATTTGCTTTTTTTTTTTTTTAATGTTTCATTTGTAGGGATTTTTGAAAGAACTTGAGGAGGATGGTGTCAGTTCTTGAAATCTACAAGAATCTACTCTTGGTAGATTTCAAGAGTGAAACCTTTTGGTCCCAGGCTTTCATTTGTTGGGGAGTTTTTGATTATTGTATCAAGCTCTGTGTTGTAGGCTTGCTCAGATTTTCTATTTTTTCATGAGTGCCTCTGTAGATTATGTTTCTAGACATTCATTGATATCATCATTGTTACCCAATTTGTTGGCGTGCCCCTGGGGATTTCCAAGGGGGCTCTAAGGCTCTGTTCTCAGTGCATTCTGCAGGTGGTGCAGGATGCTCTGGCAGGGAGAAGTGTTCCACTGCCCTGTGATCAGGCCTTGTTTTGGGGAAGCCTGTGTTCCTGGTTGGTGACTTGTCATTTCACCCCTCCACTGGTAGAGGCAGACAGGTTAGAGGGACAAGGACTTACTTGGGTGTTTCCCTTCCTCCCAGAGGTTGGGCTCTGGGAACATCCCATTTGGTTATGCTTTTGGCTCACAGTTTTCTTTTGAAGGAAACTTAAGGAGGACAGAATTCTCTGGGGATATTTCTAAACAACTGCTGTTTTCGTCTCCCTATCAGAAGCAGGAAGCCATTTTTCTTGAATCCACTGGGTCTCTGACAGTGAGGTTTACAAATTTGTGCAGTTCCCTAAGCCTGGGCCTCTTCAAGTATTTAAGTCTCGGGTCTGTCCTTGCTTATCCCCAGCAATTCATTAATTACAGTTTAGGTTGACCTCCTTCTGCTCTGCTGCCTGAAGTTCCTGCTTATTGATCTTTGTTCTAGGAAATGATGATTCTTGATCTGCCTTTTATCTCTGCAACTTGGGGACAGTGGATTGCCCTGTGACCTCGGTTCTGCTGTGGATCTAGGAGGAGCTGCTGCTTGAGCATCTTTTTCTTTTCCTTGTGGAGCAGGACTGTTGTCCTCTATGTCCTTCTCTGCTGGTTTGGAACCAACACTGATTTCTTCTGAGGGCAGAGTCCATATGAGCTTCTGCTAGTCCCTACCTCAACACTGCCACACTGGGGACCAAGCTTCTAGCACATGAACCCTTGGGGGACACACACAAACCAAGGTTTCTTCTGTTAAATATGTTTTGGCCATTTCCCCATGGTTTAATTATGTGTTCATTAATTTATTTTCACTCTGCACACTAATTCTTTAAATTTATTATTTTTAAGTTTTCTAGTTGTAAGTGAATCCAATACTTTTATATTATTTATTTATTTTTATGTAGTGCTAAGGATCAAATCCAGTGTCTCATATATGCTAGGCAAGTACTCTATCCCTGAGCCACCATCCCAGCCCCACACTAATTCTTTTATATTGCATGTATGGCTGATATTCTCTCCGACTTTTTGTTTGTCTTCTACCTCTTGTTAGTACATTTCTTCATGGCTTGCTCTGTTTCTTTTATGAGAAAATTCTCTATTCTGGCATCAAAAAGATATTTGTGATTTCTCAAAGAGGCTAGATTTACCATACACATTTGCAGGAAGAGTAAATTGATTATTAACTCTGAATTGGAAAGGAATATGATGCATGTTTCTAGTTTGATACAACTTTGTTCCTGCCTTATGTACTAAAGTGATCCTGATTTATGCTATTATTCTACAATGCCTGCTCCATCAATAGACAGCCTACCAAATATATGGTGGCCCATAGAAGGCTCTTTTCCCTCTCTTGGTCTATTTGTCAGTAATGTGATCTGCTGATCTTAAAATCTTTAAGTATGTTGGTCAAGTTTTCACTTTCTTCTTCAGATGGCTATAAGTATTGTCAGTTACTTGTTACTCCTATTAGATTTGGTAAAGTATTTCTGTTGACTACTAAAAGCTTTTTTTTTGAAATTTACTTTTGAAAGGTGACATTTTGGTGACTTTTTAAGAATATGCGCCATCTTTTATTTCATTCTTTTTTTGGTGGCGGGGGTGGTGGTGCCAGGGATTGAACTCAAGGGTACTCAACCACTGAGCCACATTCTCAGCCCTATTTCATATTTTATTTAGAGACAGGGTCTCAATGAGTTGCTTAGCACCTTGCTGTTGCTGAGGCTGACTTTGAACTCACGATGCTCCTGCCCCAGCTTCCCAAGTCACTGGGATTATAGGCATGCATCACCACACCTGGCTATTTCACCCCCCCCCCTTTTTTTTAATGGACACAATATTTTATTTTATTCACTTTTTTGTGGTGTTGAGGATCAAGCCCAGTGCCTCACACATGCCAGGTGAGCGCTCTACCACTGAGCCACAACCCCAACCCTATTTCATTCTTTTTTAACATATCCAATAAAAAAATTTAAAATTCTTCATCTGGTCACAGTGGTGCTCGCTCATAATCACAGCTAGTTGGGAAACTGAGGCAGGAGGATCCCAAGTTCGAGGGCAGCTTGGGCAACTTAGTAAGCCCTGTCTCAAAAAAGAAACCAAAAGGGCCAGGGATGTAGCTCAATGGTAGAATGCTTGGTGTGAGGCCCAGTACTGCAGAATAAATAATTAATTAATGTAAAAATAAAAATTTGCCATTAGGGCAATGAAATAGCTTTTATTAGTGTTTTATCCTACTTAATTAAATTGTTCTACAGTACAAGTTTCCAAGTGTTCTCTTGATATAATCATAAAGATAGGCTTAATTCACATAGTAACACTCTGGGACAAAAAGAGAGAGAAGTCCATTGAGACTCGGGCTCAGAGTTATTTGAGGGCTGATCAAGTAGGCTTCCTCTGCCAAGCATGGGATAAAATTCCAAACTCCCAGAGAGAAAAAAGAATAGGAGTTAAGTAAATACCATATTGTTCACATAAACAGTTCAGGCTCACTGAGCCCTGGGTGCCTTCCAAAATCCAGTTCCCAAATGCCGGCAAAGGTTGAAAACTTTGAACAAGCACTTGTAAGGTCATTCAGTTTCAGGACTGCTATTCTTAACTCTTTTCCACCCAGAGTTAGTAGGACTTGGGTATGAGAGGTACTGTAGACCTAGGGTACAGAGAGAAAGTAGGGGTGATTCAGGCACCATGTTTTAAATCACTGAGTTCACCAACAGAAGGTATGTTTCTATTCCACTGTTGCTTTACTGACTCCTTCAGTCCTAACATTAGAACAGCTGTGCAGGAAGAAGTCAGTGAAGACGGAGAGTGAGAATCTGATGAACGAGTCATGAGATAAATAAATGGGGGCCTCAGAGTCATGTGAACTGATGAATTGAGTACACACCCCGTGCTGTCGGCATCACCCTTCCTCCTGTGCACGTGCAGATCTCTCGGGACTCACTGGGCTTTGAAGGCTGAACTTCAGCTGGAAGGAGAGAACTTTGCTGGATCCTTCCCACAACACTCTCTACCAAGATGCAGTGCTGGCAGCCCTCAAGAACCTGGCCTTTGAAGGTATGCGTGAGATCATGCCAGATTAGCTGGAGGTCAAGAGTTTCTTGCTCATCAATGCTGCTCAGTGATTTAGAAAATGGAAGGGGAGTACTTTGGTGAATAAATCAAGATGGCCTTAGTGTACCATAAGCCTAGAATCGGATATTTTTTATAATGGTGTAATTAATTCATAATGATTTTCTAGGTCTACATTTTAGAAATAAAATTGGAAGACTAGAACATTGAAGACCAGTGCAGAAATCCCAGGAGAAATCAAAGGTAATTTGTAAGAGAAAACTTTGTTCCTTGAAAGGATCTTAGAATCTTAAAAAATAAGATTAAATAAAAAAATAAAACATAATGCCATTTTCAAATTTTTTATTATTAGAACATTTTTTTCTAAAAATAGATATTTATGGCTGGGGATATAGCTCAGTGGCAGAGCACTTGCCTAGCATGTGTGAGGTGAGGCCAGGGATTCAATCCCAAGCACCACAAAAACAAAACAAAACAACAACAATAAAAAAGTACTTAAATGTGACATTGATGTTTAGAGTTTGCAAAGTAGCTCATTTGGATACAGTATTAAGAAATCCCATTAATAGCTAGGCATGGTGGTGCACATGCCAGAAATCTCAGTGGTGAGGTAGGAGGATTGGGAATTCAAAGCCAGCTTGAAGAAATTTAGCGAGGCACCAAGCAACTTAGCGACACTCTGTCTCTAATAAAAAATATTTTGGAAAAGGCTGGGGATGTGGCTTGTATTTAAGCACCCTGGGTTCAATCCCTGGTACCAAAACCAAACCAAATACCCATTGATGTTATTGGGCATGGTGGCACAAATCTGTAACCTCAGTCACTCAGGAGCCTGAGGCAAGAGGATGGTGAGTTTGAGGCCAGCCTGGGCAACTTAGCGAGACCCTGTCTCAAAACGAAAAGAGCTGAGGATATAGCTCAGTGGTAGCACGCACTTGCCTAGAATACGTGAGGCCCTGGGTTCAATCTCCAGCAACACACACATGAAAGAAAAAGAAAAAAACTGGTTAGTGTGTATTGCTGTTTTGATGACAGCTGTGGTACAGATCTTGTAGAACATTCAGTCCATGCAGATTCAGACAGTCCAGACAGGGCATCAAGTCTATACTTTGATGATAATGTTATAAAGAAGTCCAAGGGGTTGGGGATAGAGCTCAGTGGGAGAGCGCTTGCCTAGTATGCTTAAGACCCTGGGTTCCATCCCCAACACCACAAAAATATATGTTTATTTTTAAATGTAAGTTCAATACCTATGAACAAATGCAAAATCATTGATAAACAAACCCTTGGTTGTGTGTGTCTCATTTCTGACAGAGATAATATGATAGATAACACGAAGAAGGTAGTTAATGTGGAGAAACTTCCAGCCAGATTCCAGGTCATAATCTAAAAAAGAAAACACCTCCTAGAATAAAACCTTGTGAAAGCCATGTGTTTGGATAAGTCTTCCTTGGTCATTCAATCCTACATAGGCTCATCAGAGTTCAGCCTGGTCAGAGTATGGAAAGGAGCCATGTACACACAAGGAATGTGGGAAAGCCTGCAGCCATGGCCAGTGCTTTCAAATGAATGAAAGGACTCATGCTGGAGAGAAACTCTGGGAATGTAAAGTATGGAAAACATTTCTCTGAAACGTATTCAGAGACACGACATAAAACACAGTGGACCTTTTAAATGTAAGATGTGTGGGAAAGCCCCTGATTATCCCAATTTACTTCATACACGAGAAAGGACACACTGGAGAGGAATCTTGTGATTGTACGAATGTGGGAAAGCCTTCCATTATAATATAAATCTTTAAAAAAGTGAAAGGACTCACACAAGAGAGAACTAAATAATGTGGGACAGCTTTTATTATCAACAAAGCTTTCGAGCCACATGTGGGGAGAGTGCATTGTTTGACAAAGGCCTATAAACAAAGTGTGTGGGAAAGTCTTTCATCATCCCAGTTCAATTCAGAGTCATAAAGAAGCAGAGTGGAGAGAAGCCTCTTGAGTAGAAGTGATGTGCAAAAGTCTTCGATTGGCCTACATGTAAGAACACACACAACCAGGCATCGTGGTACCTGCCTTCAGTCCCAGCCACTGGGGCTGGGCAGGGAGCGCTGCTTGAGCCCAAGAGCTCAAGACCAGTCAGGGCAACAGGGTGAGACCCCTTCTCAAAAGAAAACAAAACAAATGCACATTGGATCAAAACTCCATAAATGTGAAAAATACAAGAAAGTTTTCAATTTTAACAAATACATTTTAAAACTAAGCTGGGCGCAGGGTGCACGCCTGTAATCCCAGCAGCTCAGGAGACTGAGACAGGAGGATCGCAATTTAGTGAGGTGCTAAGCAACTCAGTGAGACACTGTCTATAAATAAAATAGAAACCAACCAACCAACCAGCAAAAAGTGGGGTGGGGCACTAGGGATGTGGCTTAGTGGTTGAGTGCCCCTGAATTTAGTTTCTAGTACCCATCCCCCCAAAAAAGTAATCTGAAAATGCCCAGTGTAATTTGTAATTGGTGTTTAATCCTCCAGAAAATATACAACCCAAAGGAAATGTTATAAAATCATAAATGTATTGTGTCTACCAGTGGCTCATTCCTAAAAACAGGACCCTGAACTATGTGTTAAAAAAAATCCACCTTGCAGTTTGGATTTTCTTTCAAGTCCTAAGTCTAGACTCTAAGAAGATCTAATTTGTATGTCAGGTATCTTTGTTCATGGGGATAGTGACTATGTTCTTGATTGAGCATGACAGCTACAAGGATGCTAGCAAAACTCACTAGATGAGAGTTTGTTATGGTTTGGATGTGAGGTAGTCCCTGAAAGCTCATGTGTGACAATGTAGGAATGTTCAGAGGTGAAATGATTAGATTTTTAAGAGCTGTGGCCTAATTGTGGATTAACCAGTTGGGTTAGTAATTTGAATGCATTGGTAACTGTAGGCAGGAAGGGCATGACTGCAGGAAGCAGGTCACTGGGGGCCTGCCCTGGGGAGTAATAATATTCCTGGCTCCTTGCATTCAAGTTCTTTCTGCTTCCCTCCACCACACCCTTCTGCCTTGATGTTCTGCCTCACCTCAGGCCCAGAGCTATGAAATTGTCCAGCCATGGACTGAAACTCTGAAATGGTGAGCCAGAATAAAATTTTCCTCCTGAGTTATTCTTTTTTTTTTTTTTTTTTCAGCAGGAGTAGGAGCCCTTTATTGCAGGACAGGAGCAGTATTTATACATTCCACACAGCTTATCTAATTAGCATAAACTAGATACATCAGTCAACCAATCAGGAATCTCCATACTTAATGGCTCAGTTTTGTTACTTCTCAAACCACTCCCTCTGGCATTTTGCCAGGCACCATCCAGACTTGTTTAGGAACTCTAACATTCCCTTGGCAAAATGCCAGGTGTTATTTTGACTTGTTTACAGATTCCAACATTTCCCCCTTTTGTTTAATTTAAATAAGGACCATAGTGGTTTTTACAGAAACACTATAAGTAATCTGCTACAAGCAGAAGGGGAGGATACAAAATGTCACAATACCAAGCCAATTGATGGCTCCATGCAAGAAGCCCTTGGAAAAATTATACCAGCAATGACACTGTTAGCAAAGATACCGAGTTACAATTTGTTGTAGATTATAGTTTGTTGTCTCAGTCCAGGTAAAGCAGTGTCTCAATAGATTAACTCACAGTCCAGGTAAATTCTGCAGGCAGTTAGCTTAAATCACAGTCCAGGTAAGTTCTGCAGGCAGCTAGCTTAAATCACAGTCCAGGTAAATTCTGCAGGCATCTAGCTTAAATCACAGTCCAGGTAAGTTCTGCAGGCAGCTAGCTTAAGTTGTAGCAGCAGAAACAGCAATAGCTCCGAAGTCTCCTCCAGTTTTCAGCAACACTGGAAATTCTTCCACCTTGGTCTTTACTGGCACTGGGATGAAGGCAGGAACTCCGGATGGCTAAAGAAAATCCTGTAGTATTCCAGCAGGCACTAAGAAAACAACCTTCTGAACAATTTAGTACATTATCTCAAGGTTTTTTACATTTAAATAAGCCTTAATGGTGCTCATTACTCATTAGCTTCCAGGTGTGGGAGAACCATTGTAGCTTAGTTATTGGCATTGAAAATGACCAAACATCAGGGACACCAGTAGTGTCTTCTGCGGCTGTAGCGTCCCGGGTAGCCCCAGATGGCCCTGGGGAGAGTCCCGGTCTCAAACTGCTACTGGGCACAGGGAGCAAGAGCCTGCGAGACTGTGCCTCCAGGTCAGGTCTAGATTTGGGCTCGGGCAGTGGAAGAGCCAGCTCCCCGGCCAGGAGGCGGGGAAGGGCCAGTCGCCGCCACCTCTTGGAAAATCCTTGTTGCGCTGTGACCAGCTTGCACATTTGGCAGCCGCCTCTCCGCTTCACGCACCCTCTGGTAACGAAAAGTATTTAGTAATAATCTTTTGCTGCAACTTTTTTTCTGATAATCCTTCTTCTTCTGAACTTTCTTTTTCTTTCTGACTCGAGTTCCTGGGCTCTTATCGACACATGCCCTAACTATTCTTGGTTCCACTGGGGTGCCTTCTTCCCTTAGTAATTTAGTTCTCACCCCTTCCATATTTTCATCACAAAGACAATACAACATTTCAAGACAAAACAAGACACAAACATACTGTATCAATCTTCTCCATTTTCTCAAAATGGTCATTTTTCCTCTCGCCCTATCTGCCTAGGGACGAGCAGATTGCTCCCGTCCTATCTATGGACGGGCAGCTTTTTTTCGTCACTTACCCCCGAGTGTCCCAGGGCTCCCCGTAACGGGCCACCATCTGCCGCAGTCCGGCTGCAGCAGAATAATCAGGGGGGTGACGAACAACTTGTGTAGATTGATACAGCAGGAGTAGGAGCCCTTTATTGCAGGACAGGAGCAGTATTTATACATTCCACACAGCTTCCTGAGTTATTCTTGTTGGGTATGTTGGTCACAGCAGTGCAAAGCTGACTATAACAGAGTTTGTTCCTCTGCTGCACTGATTGTGCAGTAACTGCTCTCCCAGTCCTTTCATGGGAGAATAAGCACCTTCTTCCTGTGTGGAAAATCATGGGTGTTTCCTCTGATGCAGCTGAATGTAATACCTCAGTTCCAGTTCAACTAGGTTTCATTATATGTGATTAAAAACAAAATATTTTTTTTTCTCAGACACAAGATTCATATTTATGTTTCTTAAAAATAGTTTATTTAGCTTGTACACTAAAAAATGTTATTATCTTATTCATTTACTGAGAAGCTACATTAAAATTTTCCATTGATTTCATGGATGAAATAAAATATATAATTTTTCCAGGGTGTTTATTTCATGCTGTGAGTCACTGAGCATTTATATTGCACATACATCAGGCACCTTTTATTATGTAAAATTTACTTCTCATGCTTATACAGTTACAAAGTTTATCTTTTTTTTTTTCATTATAGTGCTGAGAGTGGAACCTAGGGGCTTTGCGCATGTTAGAACAGTACTCTACCACAGAGGTACACCCACAACTCCACAACTCTCACCTGTTATTTGGTCTTTAATTTTTTTTTTTTTTTTTTAGTTGTAGGTGGACACAATACCTTTATTTTATTTATGTGGTGCTGAGGATTGAATCCAGGGCCTCCATATGCAAGACAAGTGCTGTACTGCTAAAACATAGCCCCAGCCCCTTGATTAATTTATTCTTAAACTAAGTGTTGTTTATCCTCATTTTGTGAATTTTCAAGTTTTCCTTCAGTTATTTATTCGTAAGTTCATCTCATTGTGTTTAGAGGAGATACTCTGGATATTTACTTTTATTTTTTGTTTTATCATTAACTACTTTTATATTCTGTTTTGATATTCTATCATTTTAGTATTTTAACAACATAAATTTACATTATTTATGTCAAATGTATATTATAAAATCATATTATTTTTCATTATTCATATTTTTTAAACAGACTTGAGGCTGGGGGTGTATGTAGTTCAGTGAGAGAGTGCTTGCTTAGCATGTGTGAGGACACCCTAGGTTCAATCCCCAACACCATTAAAAAAAAAAAAAATGTTCAATCTGGCCTTTCTGGCCTTTCCTAAACCTGGAAAGGATGAATGATGCCTCACCAAGGATCATAGAGAGTCACTGAAGCAGAGGAAAAAGGAAGGTTCACACCTAATTAGTTGCTCTCCATAAGAATTTGTTAATATGAAAATAATAGTTTGCTAACATCTTTGTTTTTCTCAAAGGAATAATTATTTGCCAGTATTTTAGTTTTCCTCCTTTACTGTACACAAAAGCATAGAAGGAAAGCAGGGTCTCTGCTGTTTTCTTATTCAAACAATGTGACTGAAGGTCTCTGTGTCATTGAACTTATTGGTGTTGGTGTGAAGCAGGTGAATGACCTGCAGTGGCAGGCACAGGACTGAGACAGGTAGCTAAGAGCTGAGGCCAAACTTGAGCCTGCAAAGGAGGGACAATGGAGTTCTCCTTGGTGCCTCCTGGGCAGGTGCTGTCCTCTATAGGTGACCTTGTGCTACAGAAGAACAGCTACAGACCAGCTGACCTAAGCTGCAGAGCACTGAAAAGTGGGAGACGCACAGCAGAGTTGGGAGTGTCTGTCCTTTCTGAGACTGTGACTCTTGTTGTCATGGGGCTGTTTTCTGGACAGTTTGGTTTTGGCACTATAGAGTTGCTGGTGTCAGACTGTCATCCATGTAAGTGAAAAAAACCTGTGAAGGTCAGACTTAGAGAAAGACTCATTTTGGGTATCTCCTAGAGAAAGGTTCATAATTTGATGGTTTACATAGATCAGAACCTGAAATTGATTCCTGGTTAGTTTCTTGCTGGTGAAAATGAATATCTTGAAGAAAGGAGCCTTTCTACACAGTTTGGAGGAGACAGAGGGCAAGGTGAACTCCCAGAGTTCAATCCGTAAGTGTCCCTGCCTCATGGCCAAGGAATGAGCCAACTGGGGCTTCATTTCAACAGTCTGGCTTCCAGCTTGGAATATGTTCAACCCAAATGCCAGTTTCCTTGTGAACTGGCTGAAGCAGTCTGTTTGTCTGAGTTCAAATATTTGTTGTTATTCTCTTTATTGTTATAGAATATTACTGACATAATCTGCACATTTAATAATTTTTCCACACATTTAATAATTTTATTACAGTGGCTTGTGCCTGTGGCCTCTTCAGGGGGCTGAAGCAGAAGGATTGCTTGAGCCCAGTAGTTCAAGGCCAGCCTGGGCAATATAGGGAGACCCTATCTCAAAATAAATAATTAAAAAATGAGAATTTCCGACCCCTGCCAAACTCCAAGCCCTCCTGTTCCAGTCTGGCTGGCCTGGACAGGTCTCTCCTACTCTGAGGCCAAGGATCTCTCCATTCAACACTTAAGTCTGGAATTCTTTGAGTACACTGTGATCCAGTATTCATATGCTGTGACTTGTATGGATCACAGGATCCTGTGGGAAGATGCTAGGAGACCCCAAAAGAAAGGAATGGTGAACAAGGAGCCAGCATCCTGAGCTAGGGAGTGAGGGCTGATTGGAAAAGGCCATGTGGGACCCTCCTCAGACCCTGGTATCCTGTTCCATCCCTACTTGGAGACTGGCATGGCACTGAGCCCCTTTCTGGGCAGCTCTGCCGGCAGCCCTGCATCTCCAAGGGAGCATGGTGTGTGAGGTCCCTGGACCTAAGTCTCAAATCCACCTCCCCAAAAATAAGGCTTAGTGGTATTTATGGGATAAAGAAGCAGGGTGGCAGGGCATGGTGGTGCACGTCTGTAATCTCAGCCAGGAGGTTGTGGCAGGAGGATAACAAGTTCAAAGCCAGCCTCAGCAACTTGAGGCCCTAGGTAACATACCGAGATCTTTCAAGATAAAAAATAAAAGGGGCTGGGGTTGTGGCTCAGTATTTATGTGCCCCTGAGTTCAATCCCTGGTACCAAAACAAACAAACAAAAAACCACCCAAACATGGTGGTCTGAGATATGAGGGAAAGATGATCAGAGGCAGGGAAAACTGAAGTAATCAGCAGTACTGGAATAAGGACTGAGAGGCTGCTTTTACTAAAAGTACTTCACTTGGCTCTGTACACACCTACAGATGCCTGATGGGTAACTAAAAAACAGTTAAAAATGTGGCATCTCTGCCTCCGTTCTGATCTGTTTCCTTTGCTCAGTGCCATTTTCTCCTGTGGTCACACTGGATTCTAGGTAGGTCTGATGAATAAATCTCCTATGAGAAGACTTGAACTACTCCCCAGCAACAGCAATTTCTTATCCCAGACAAGGCCCCCTGACCAATCTTGAAATAATGATAAACCAGATCGTAGTTTGACAAGACTACACTTGATCATGCACACTTCTGGCCTCCTTAAACTCTATAAGCTGGGAGTTCATGCCAGTACCCCTGAAGACTGGGTTGAGGATGTAAGTCCCCTTGTCTTCCTGGTATAGCTACACTGATTAAAGTTCCTTTCCTGCCTTCACAACTGCATGTCTCTTGGACTGGAATCTTGGGATGTGTGTCAGAACCAACAGTCCACCAGGACCCCTAGCACTGGGGCCTTTGCCTCAAAAATCTGGTAACAGTCACATATGCTTAACCAAATTTTATGGCTTTTAGATTGAACCCGGCATTTGGGTTGAAAATATTCCAAGCTGGAAGCCAGACTGACTTCTGAAAATGTTGGCAACAGTATGCTCTGAGGTTCAAATTTTGGGCCTTGGACCTCAAAAAGTCACTCATCAGACAGCTTGGCAGGCCCAAGTGAAAGGTCATTGGTTTCAACAGGTTTGAAAGTGACAAAAGTAGCCTGAAAAACAATACAGACAACTACCTTCATGACCAATATGACTGAGATGTTAGTTAATGTGACCCATAAAATTGGTGATGAAAGCATTAGTTAAAAGCAAATTAAGCTTGAGGATTTATCCGTGTTTCCCCTTGGTTCCATCCTTGTCCCCTTGAAGCTGACATTCTACTTTTGTGTGCGGTGGGGCAGAACTGGGGATTGAACCCAGGGGTACTTTACCACTCAGCTGCGTCTCTAACCCTTGTTATATTTTGAGACAGGGTGTTGGCAAGTTGCCAAAGCTGGTCCCAAATTTCTGATCCTCCTGCCTCAGTCTCCTGAACCACTGGGATTACAGGCCTGAGTCACCATGCCTGGTGTTTTAGATTTGATCCTATGTGCTATTATTTTTTTCAGACTCATTCTGTATTTCTATAACCTGTTATTGCTTTCCTAGTATCTATCAAAGAGAATAGAAATTCCAATTACCTTAGAAGTGTCCTAACCTTTTACAAAGTTTTATAGGGGCACATGGAAAGAATGATCTGAAATACCCTTCTGGAGTAAACACACCTGACAATTTTAAAGAACATACCTTATAGGTGGCAGTTGGTTGAGAAGAGTTTCTGATCTCAGACTTGGCCAGCAAAGTTTACACTTCCTGCCAGAATCAAAGTGCCAGATGTGCAGGGTGAGGAAGGGATGGTTTAGGCCTCAACGCCGGCAACCGTCAAGATCAAACTGGAGGCTGACTCTATTATATACGCTGACGTCACTTTTAAGTGTCTGTGATTCTAAGTGATCCTAAAAGAGCATCACAGTTCCATGAATGGCCTTCGTGCCTTAATGCCAAGCCCCTGACCCGGTGGAGAAAAGCTGGCTGGCTCTCCTTTCAGTTTTGGTCTTGCTCTCCTCTTGCTTTGCACAAGTGGGTCGCTCCAAGTGAAAACAGCCTGGAACTACTTGCCCACGCGGTGCCAGTCTTCTTTCTGGGATAGGAACAAATTCTTAAAATGCCAATATGTTAGGGCTGGGGTGTGGCTCAGTGGTGGAGCGCCTGCTTAACGCGTTGAAGCTCAGGGTTCCTTCCTCGCCCCTCGGGGGTGGGGAGGGACTGGCCTCCGAGGAAGGCCGGCAAGCTGGCTGGGTCACGGGAGGTTCGCCTTCCACGTCACATAGGCAAAGGGGCGTGGCCTCAGTTATTGTCCAATCAGATGCGTCTCTGGGAGGGGCGGGGAGTCGCTACGCGACGTCGCCTGCGCTTTGGTCCTGGGCTTCTGTCGGCTCTTGTGAAGGGTCTTTCCGGCCGGTCGCCACCTTAGGTCCCTCTGCCAGCAGCTTCCGCCCTCTGTAACCTGGTGACCTGAGGCTCCGGGAGCCGTGGGAGGACTCCGGGCAGGACGCCCCGGAAGCCGGAAATGGTGAGTGTCGGGGCCGGGAGTCGGGAGTCCAGCTGGCGCTGTCGGAACCCGCAGGAAATGGAGGGCCTCCGGGCGCAAGCTCCGAGTTTGCCGCCAGCTCCGCCGCTGGCCCCTCTCGGCCCTCGGTCCCCTATGGCCCGAGAATGGGGCTGGACCGACATCTCGGACCTCAGCGACCTGTCCTGTCCCTGTGCGGCCCCTTAGCTTGGCCGGGAGCCTTCTCTGGGCAGCTCCGCGCCTCCCCAGATTGGGGTGACGGCGGGAGTGTCACGGGAGACTCCAACTCATGTGTGGGGTTCTTGCCGTGGAGGAGGTGGGGTGTGCAGGGCCGCAGTCCCTCCGTTCCCCCCAAGGGGGACCCTTTTGCCCGGAGTTTTCCAAATGTAGGGGAAGTCTCAAATCAAGGACCCTAATCCCTCCCAAGTCTTCCTAGGGCTGGCAGTAAATCCCTAAATTTCCAGTACCCTTTCCGTGTTCCCAAATGGTAACTTCCCTCTCTCATTCACAGCATCGAGTTCAACTATTTGTCCTTTCTACACACGGAGTTTTAATTATAATTTTTCCATAGTACCATGGATGCCTGTATGTAAAGACTTTTTTTCTTTTTGTTGATTTTGTTTTCTTTGTTTGTTTGTTAGTATTTTACCTGAAAGGAAAGCAAGAGAATAACCTCTTGGATCTGTTGTCTCTCAGATGCATGCGCCCCTTCTTATAATCTTTACTGGGCAGGAACATTCAAGGGAACTCCTTTGGATTGAGGTTCTTCTTTGGAAATCTTCCAGACTGATCTGCCTTTAAGTTCAGCTGCAGATCAACCCTGCTCTTCCTTAGCATTTCAACCTCTATTGATTTAACTACTACTGACATTTACAGAAAACTGAATACAAAACTGAATACATAAACGTATTCAGTTTTCTGTAAATATCAGTAGTAGTTAAATCAATAGAGGTTGAAAGACAATACAAAATATTTCCTAGAGTCAAGAAAGACATGAATTTCAGAAGAATAAAACAAAAGAGTCCTAGCTTACATTACAATTTTTCTCCAATTATCAGAGCCTATTATATTCCATCTTTATTTTTTAGTTTTTTATATTAGGCATTGAACCCAGCAGTGTTTTACCACCGAGCTACATCCCCAGCCTCTTTTTAAAAAAAATTTTTTAGTTGTAGATGGACACAATATCTTTATTTTATTTTTTCTGTAGTGCTGAGGATCAAACCCAGGGCCTCACACTGCCAGGGGAGCGCCCTACCACTGAGCCCCCAGCCTCTTAAAAAATAAATTAAAAAAAAAAAAATTGTAACAGGGTCTCATTAAGTTGCTGAGGCCTTGAACTTATGATCCTTCTGCTTCAGCCTCCTCAGCCGCTGGAATTATAGGTGTGTACTACTACACCTGGCTTCATCTTTATTTTTATTTCTCTTGTAGTGCCAGGGATCTAATCAAAGTCCTGTGTGTGCAGAAGCTCTACCACTGAGCTACATGCCCAGACTTTTTTATATATTTATCTTTTTGAGACAGTATTGCTAAGTTACCCAGCCTGACCTGAAACTTGGGTTCAAATACCATCATTAATTGTATACATAATAATTTCCTACATGAATGTTTTAGAGTGAACTGAAGACTTCATTTTCTGAAAAAAAAAAAAAAATCCGGATATTTTTAGGTTTTCTTGCTGAGTTGGCAAATGTACATTACAGTTTTCTTTCCATGAATACTAGGTTTGAGTGATTTTGCTGGATTCTTCAAACACTGGCTTTGTATCATTTAAAATATCAATGGAGGAAGAGAGATGTAGCTCAGTCAGAGTGTGTACCTTGCACGGGCAAGGCCCTGGGTTCCATCCCTAGCATCACACACATGAAAAAAATCAGCGGTGACCTTCAGAACTATGAGTTAAATAAAACCTCTTTTCTTTATATAGTTAATTAGATTATCAGTGGTTGTTCAAAGCTACTTGTTGACTCAGAGGCAGATGCCCAAGGCCAGTGACACTGAGTTAAGGCTACCTTTGAGCCTGCAGAGGGAAGTAATGGAAGATCAAACTGGTTCTTTCTCGGGATTGTCCCCTGGCAGGTGTCCTGCCTGCTCACACCCACCTAGGAAAGAGCTCTTTGTATTAAGTAAAGATGCAAAGCACTGGAAAACTGGGCATCCACATGCATGATGGGTTACAGAGGCTCATTCTTGGGTCTTTGTATAGACCCTTTTGAATTTTGTATCCAGAAATTTGTTGCACATAGTGTTTTAATTGTGCGTACTGGGAAAATCAGTGAAGATCAGGGTTTCTATGTTTTGGAAAAACTGTTAATAAATTTGGGAATTTATTTGATTCAAACCCTAAACTGAATCCAACTGAGAGTTTCCTCACTTATGAGAACAGGTATATGTGGGGTGGGAGGTATTTCCTTGCCATCTAGGAAGAGGACTCCATTCCTGTGGCTGCCCAGGTACCCTGCCCTCCATCTCCAGGGATTGACCTATGCTAGGAGTTATATTTAAATTATGAAAGCCCACCCCCAGACTTGGGAATATTTTAACCCTCAGTATGTGATTTTTCCTTATGAATGATGGGGAAACAGTTTGTTTATCTGAACAGATTCAGTGTTGCATTTATTTGTTTATTTTGATTCCTTCATTGGATATTGCTTTCTTTTAACATAGTTTCTTTAAACTTTGTAATTTTATTCCTTCTGTTATGTGTAAATTTTAGTTTCTTGTTTGAATCTGTAGATTGAGAGACATGTTAGTCAAGAAAATTCTGGAACAGCACAATTTTTGTCACTTTTAGGCATGAGAGAGACAGTGATGGGAGGATGTATTTTAAGTTCTCAGGTGAATTTTTCTTTCTTCAGATCAGTTTTTGGGGCCGAGGATATGGCTCAATGGTAGAGCACTTGCCTAGCACATTCAGGGCCCTGGATCTGATCTCCAGCAACACACACAAAATCTAATTTAATGAAGGTCAAACTGCTAATAAATTGTAATATTCATTCCTAAGCTGTACCCCACAGTGTCGTATTTAGCGGAGCAACAGGTGTGATCCCACTTGCCACATAGTTCAAGATTCCAAAAGTTCACTTATGAATTTATTTCTCACATTTCCACCATGATATGTAAGAAACGAGATCTTATAATGGTTACCTATATAGGAACATCCAAATTAATTAAATGTAAGTTCTACCACTGAGCTACAGCCCCAGCCCCCTTTTATTTATTTATTTTTTTTAAAAAGAAAAAAAAGGATTTTATTCAAAATTTATTTTTTTTATTGGTTGTTCAAAACATTACAAAGCTCTTGACATATCATATTTATTTATTTATTTTTTAATTTTTAAAAATACCTTATTTTATTTATTTTTATGTGGTGCTGAGGATCGAACTCAGGGCCCCTCGTGCATCCATGCGAGCGTTCTACCGCTGAGCCACAACCCCTGCCCCCTTTTTAGTTTTTATTTGGAGACAGGGTCTTGCTAAGTTGCTGAGGCTGGCTTTGAATTTGCAATCCTCCTGCCTCAGCCTCCCAAGCGCTGGGATTACAGGTGTGTACCACCATGCATGATTTATGAATTAAATGAATATGAATTAAATATGAATTAAATGCAGACCTTCTTTACTATAGTTCACCTTTCCTCTGTAAACATGTCTGGGATGTTTCAGGACTCAGTGACGTTTGAGGATGTGGTTGTGAACTTCAGTGTGGATGAATGGGCTATGTTGGATCATGCCCAGCGGGAACTCTACCGAGATGTTGTCGGGGAAATCTTTATGAGCTTGGCCTTTATAGGTAAGGAAGACAATTTTTCTTTACTTACTCAATTAAAGAGCAAGTGTTTCTTGCCCATTAGTGATGTTCATGATTTGAAACGTGGAAAGGAAATACTGTGGTAAATAAACTGGCATGGTTGCAACTCATCAGAAACTTAGAGTCTAATATAATATGTTTCCTTTTAAGTTGTAACAATTAATGATTATGACGTTTTCTCTAAGTTATAATAATTCATAATGGTTTTTCTGGCTCTACTTTCTAGGGGAAAAATGGGACCAGAACATTGAAGATTGGTACAGAAATCAGGGGAGAAATTTAAGGTAATTTATAATGAAAGGAGAAAGCAGTCTTACCAAAGCATCTTAATATGTCCTAGAGTTTTTTTTGTTGTTGTTGTTTGTTTTGTTTTTGTTTTTTGGTACCAGGGATTCAACTCAGGAGCACTCTTCCACTGAGCCACATCCCCAGACCTATTTTATATTTTATTTAGAGACAGGGTTTCACTGAGTTGCTTAGTGCCTTGCCATTGCTGAGGCTGGTTTTGAAATTGTGATCCTCCTGTCTCAGCCTCCCAAGCCGCTGGGATTACAGACATGCACCACCGAGCCCAGCTGTCATAGAGTTTTTTATGTAAGTAAATAAATAAGCCTCTCTCCAAATTTTATGTATTCAGAAAAATTTCACCTATATATGTATTCAAGTGTGATGTTCGATGTTTGAAAAATAGGAACCATTTATTAGAGTCTGCAAATATCACTGAGTATCGCTGTTTTATTTAATAGATGAGATTAAGCCCTCTTGCAGAGCATTCAATCTGTTCACTTTCAAATAATTTAGACAGGGCAGAAAACCCTCACTTTCTCTGATAACAATAAAAATGTCAGTTTATATAATCCCAGTGGCTCAGGGGGCTGAGGCAGGAGGATCACAGGTTCAAAGCCAGCCTCAGCAACTTAGAAAGGCCCTAAGAAACTTTGTGAGACCCTGTCTCATTATAAAAAAAAGTCTGGGCATAGCGGCAGGAAAGATAGTGGAATGAGATGGACATCATTACCCTAGGTATATGTATGACTGTGCGTATGCTGCAATGCTACATGTACAACCAGAGAAATGAAAAGTGCTGTAATTGTGTACAATGAATCAAAATGCATTCTGTTGTCACATACCTAATTAAAATAAATAAATAATTTTTTAAAAAAGGGTCTGGGGATGTGGCTCAGTGCTTAAGTGCCTCTGGGTTTAATTCCTGGCACCAAAAAAAGAAAAAAAAAAAGTTGGGCATGTGTGGTGAGGCACTGGATTCTTTTTTTTTTTTTTAATGTGGTGCTGAGGATCAAACCCAGTGCCTCATACCTGGGAGGCAAGTGCTCTGCCATTGAGCCATAATCTCAGCCCTGAGGCACTGGATTCTATTCTCTGCACCACATATAATAAATTTTTTAAAAAATATATACATATCAAAAATGTATAAAGGTAAATTGTTATTAGTTAATATGTTTTTTTTTTTTTTAAACAGAGAGACTCAGAGAAAGTGAAGAAAATAGTCAATGTGGAGAAATCTTCACCCAGATTCCAGATCATAATCTGAACAAAAAAATCCCAACTGGAGTAAAATCACATGAATGTAGTGTGTGTGGGATAGTCTTTATGCCTCATGCATCCCTTAACAGTCCCATCGGATCCCACACTGGACAGGAATTGTTTGAGTATCAGGAATATGAAGGAAAGCCATATAAGTGTAAGCAGTGTGAGAAAGCTTCAAGTTACTACTGCTCTTTGCAATTTGATGACAGCAGTCATGCTGGAGAGAAACCTTATGAGTGTCAGGAGCAGGAGAAAACCTTCATTTCCCTCACTAGCCTCGGAGGATATGTGATAACACATGCCGGAGGTGGACCACATAAATGCAGCATGTGTGGAAAAGGCTTCCAGTATCCCAGTTCACTTAGAGTACATGAACGGACTCACACTGGAGAGAAGCCATATCAGTGTAAACAGTGTGGGAAAGCCTTCAGCTGCTTGGCTTCAGTTCGAAGACATCAAAGAACTCACACTGGAGAGAAACCCTATAAATGTAAGGAGTGTGGGAAGGCTTTTAGTTCACTCTCAGGCCTTCAAGGACACATGATAAGGCACACTGGAGGTGGACCTTATAAATGTAAGGAATGTGGAAAAGCCTTCAACTCTCCCAGTGCACTTAGAAAACATGAAAGAACTCACACTGGAGAAAAACCTTATCCATGTAAACATTGTGGCAAAGCCTTCATTTGTTCAACTTCAGTTCGAAAACATGAAAGGAGTCACACAGGAGAAAAACCCTATGAATGTAAGCAGTGTGGGAAAGCCTACATTTCTCTCTCAGGCCTTCAAGGACACATGATAAGACACACTGGAGTTGGACCTTATAAATGTAAATTTTGTGGGAAAGCCTTTGGCTTTCCCAGTGCAGTTCTAAGGCATGAAAGTGCTCATGTTGTGTAGAGTTCTGTGACTAAAGAGTGTGGGGAAGCCTTCATTTCTTCTTCAGACATTTCAGGACAAGTAATCACATACACTGAACTGATACTATAAATTAAATGTAAGGTATTCAAGAAAACCTTTTACTGTCCTAGTTCACTTTCCTAGTACAGAAAGGAATTTGCACTGGAGAGAAACCCTGTGTATGTAATGAATGTGGGATAGCCTTAGACCTTCAAAAGCTTATTAGGAATGCATGCAAGGGCTCATGTTGGAGAAGAATTCTTTGAATAAAAAGCAAAGTAAAATCTTCAGTTTTCCCAGTTCCTTTGAAAACATGGCAAAAATTTATGGTGAAGTCTTTAGTTTTACTTTCTGATATATGTAAGAGCTCATACTGGAGAGCAACCTTATGAAGGTAATAAATGTGGGAAAGTATATTTCTAACTGTCACACTTATGGAAGAGAGAAACCTGTGTGGAAAAACTTTTATTCGTCGCACAAAATTCAGCATATGAGAGAATGCATAATGGTGAAATACCTTATGAATGCCAGGGTGTTAGAATCCCTCCATCCTTCCAGTTCAGTTCAAAGGCATATATAAGTGTTGTAGAAAAGCCTTCAATTGTCCCACATTCTGACCAAAATATGTAGGAATACAGAATGAATTAAAACTGTTCAAGGTAGTATTTTCAGTGTGAATCCAAAGCTTGTCTGGTTCTTTGAAAACAAATTTTTTCCCCTTTAGGTTCTTTACACTGAGAATATTGTATTTAAAGATAATATTTCAATGTAATATTAAGGAAATATTCAAAAATATGTACAGTGAATTGAAATCCTAATTATTTTTTTTAAATAACAAAAAAATTCAATTTAACAAATATTTTGAGTCCTGTGAAAATCCTATAAAGATAATATGGAAAGCTCAAGTGGAAGTTAATTTTGTGTGTAATGCTGAAGAAAATTCCCAGCATTGAAGAAATATTGTAAAAATGGTAAAGGTATTTATTATTTTATCACTTTCTCACATTTATCATTAAAGTGGATCTGTAGACCATGGACTTCTACTCCTTTTGCAAATTAGCACAGGAGTGAGATCGTTCTGTAAGTACCTGTAAATAATGAGTTTAACAGGTAATGTTTTTATTTTTAAGTCAGCTAATAATTTTTTTTTCACCATTTGGAACCATGCTGTTCTGTGTATGAATCTTATGTGTATTTCTTATTTGCAGATTGTTTTCATTATTACACAGTTTAATTGTTCTGAGATTAATAGGCCACTGGAAAATGAGTTTAATTCTTGAAATTTTTCTACTGGTTTCTTGTACCTATTTTATATATTCCAGCTTTCTTATGGGAAATGCTAATTTAAAAAAATTGGGACAGAAACAGCTTTATTCAGTTTTCCTTGTTAATAAATAGTTGTCTTCAATCTGTAAGTATGTGATGTTTTATTATATTCTTTTGTGAGTTTTCGTTTTTCCCCCTACTGTGTTGGGTGTTATTTTCTGTAGACCTTGTACATGCTAAACACATGCTCTACCACCGAGCTACACTCCCAGCTTGATCTTAGCAGTCTTGATCTTAGTATTTAAAACATGTTACACTCAAGTGTGAGCCTCTATAAATCAAGTGCAGGCTTCTTGGAAGAAGGGAGTTCTCACTTCTCACTCTGTCTCCCATATTTAAGGCACAGTCCTGGGTAGCTGGGAATGGATGAGAGAGTGAAGTTATCACCTCTCAGGAGGAAAGCTCTCTCTGTGCAAGCTTAAGGCAGAAAGAGTTTTGTGTTTTGGGCTGTAGAGTCTCCAACCTCCCTGAGCTGAGCCAAAGGAAGTATGTGAGTAGCCTTATTTCAAATATGGTGAACTTTCTCCTTTTTACCAGATTTACATAGATTTCCCTAAGTGTTTCTCCTGTTGCTCTGTACCCTCAGGGCTTTCCTGGAGGCTTTTCATCTGGTGATTTTCTTTTTTACACTTATCACTTTCCTTTGGGACTAATCTACAGGTTCCTCACATACTACCAGATGTCAAGCCCCAGGATTCTTTCTTAGTATAAGTTTATGCATTTGTTTATTTAGAGAAACTGGAGATGTCTTTGTTTTAGTAGTACCAGGGATGGAACCTAAGGCCTTGTGCATGCCAGGCAAATGTTTTACATGGAACCACACATCTTCATATTTATATGTGGTGCTGAGGATCAAACCCAGGGCCTCACACATGCCAGGCAACTACTCTACCACTGAGCCACAACCCCAGCCCATCATTAATATCTTAAATGAAACAAACTCAGTGTTTGAAGAATCCAGCAAAATCACTCAATCCAATTTTTATGTATAAGAAGGAGGAGAGAAAACTATAAGGAATATTTACTAATTCCACAAGAAGACCCACAAGTTTCTGTTCTTTTCAGAAAATGAAGATTTGGGAGAGAGCTTGCCTAGCATGCAGGAGGCCCTGGGTTTGATCCTCAGCACCCACCCAAAACACACATAACAAGAAAATGCTGTCAATCAATTGTTACTTCCAAGGCAAGAAATTATTTTATAAACTCATATTTGAACACTTCAAGGTGTTAGAAGCTTAAGCCCTGGAATTCTTTTTGAAATCATCAAAAAAGAAAAAACAGACCCGAGAAATTTATTATATATGCTCCAAGAAGAAATAGGTAAACAAGAATTGAGACAAATGTAACACTGAAAAATTTTTCCCCCTGAAATTCATATCTTTCTTGCCTCTTTGGAAATATATTATATCACACTTTATTATAAATATTTTGCATTTACTGGAAAAAATGAGACTCAAATGAGTACATAAATTTGGGGGGTGGTGGGCTTTTCACTATTTTGTTTTAAAATTTAGGCTTCATTTATTTAATTACTTTTTACCCATTCCATCCATCATTTTTCCTTTTCATGATATTCACTTATACATATATTAAACTAATAAATAGTGCCCCAAAGGTTACTCAAGTTTATATAATTTCATTAAATTCTTTTCCTATTAACTGTTTTCAAGTTCACCAATGCCTTGTTTTTGTCTAAAATTTGTTGCTAAGCATATTCGTGAATGTTTTTAAACATTCTGATATTAGTACATAAATTTTTTTAAGGTGACAAATGCAGAGAGGGACAGTGCTCAACTGGAACAATGCTGAAAGGCTAGGTCATCCAAAAAAGTTTGCAAAGAGGAACTTCAAAAAAACCCTAAAGAGATCCCACAAGATAACTATATCCAGGAAAGATGCTGATCAAGAGGAATCACGGCTTGGAGTCACTGGAGGAGAGGCACAAAGATTTTGTGCAACCGGTTCCAAGTGTTGTTCTTCCTCTTGTAAAAATTCTCAAACAAAAAGAACCATCCAGGGCTGGGGTTGTAGCTCAGTGGAAGAGCGTTTGCCTAGTATGTGTGAGGCCCTGGGTTTGATCCTCAGCACCACATAAAGATAGATAAATAAAATAAAGGTATTGTATCCATCTAAACTATGAAAACAAACAAAACCATCCACTGCTCTGTGAAAAGAAACAATACTTAAAATAGTGCATTTGACCAGGCATGGTGGCACAGGCTTGCAATCCCAGCTCCTCAGGAGGTTGAGGCAGGATGATGGCAAGTTTCAGGGCAGCCTGGGCAAACTAACACCATGCTTGCCTAGCCATGCATGCACTGGGTTCAATCCCCAGTACTGATGGGGAAAAACAGTGTCATAGGGGCTGGAGTTGTGGCTCAGTGGTGGAGCACTTGCCTAGCATGTGTGAGGCCCTGGGTTCGAGCCTCAGCACCATATAAATACATAAAATAAAGGTCCATCTACAACTAAAAAAATTAAAACACAAAACAAACAAACAAAAAAAAAACAGTGTCATAGTTTGAAAATCAGCATAGAGGAGTGTCGAATGACAAAATCAAATCAAAACATCTGATTGGCTTTTTTTGCAATTCTAGAACAGATTCTATAAATCTGAATGTGTGCTTCAGTAAGCTGATCAGAAGGAGTTTGGGCTTTAAAGGCAGAAAAGGGCTGAGAGAGAACAAAAGTCCCATTGTTCTGTTCAAAGTTACTTTCCACAGAAAGGTTAAAGCAAAAGGGACTTTTTTTTTTTTTTAATCACCCAGCCTAACACTGGCCCATTTTGGGATCTGGCCATTGTCTGTCTCCTGATTTTCTTGGCAGAATGGACTTGCTGACATGGAACTTCCGTATGAATAACTCCATTTGGTGTGGTCAGCCGGACCTAGTTCAGGAGCTCAGAACAAATCTTGTTTTTTTTTTTTTTTTTGTTTTGTTTTTTTATATTTATTTTTTAGTTGTAGATAGACACAATACATTTATTTTATTTTTTTAATTTTTATGTGGTGCTGAGGATCAAACCCCCGGGCCTCACATGTGCTAGGCAAGCATTCTACTGCTGAGCCACAACTTCAGCCCTAAACCAAAGAAATTATGTCTGAAATGATAGATATGCCAGTTACCCTGACCTGTTCATAACATTATATGCATTTACTGAAATGTCACACTGTACCCCATAAGCACAATTACTATTTTATTTATTTTAAAAATAAAGATTTTTTAAAAAGAAAGATGTTGGGGCCAGACTGGGTGGCACACACCTATAATCCCAGCAGCTCAGAAGGCTGAGACAGGAGGATGGTGAGTTCAAAGCCAGCCTCAGCAAAGGTGAGGCACTAAGCAACTCAGTGAGACCTTGTCTCTGATAAAATACAAAATTGCACTGGGGATGTGGCTCAGTGGTTGAGTGCCCCTTAGTTCAATCCCCGGTGCCCCCTCCCAAAAAAAAGATGTTGTGCTAGGGGGTGTGGTTCAGTGGTCAAGTGCTTGCCTAGTATGTTCCAGTCCTTGGGTTCAATCCCCAGCACTGAAAAATATGTTGAACATTATTATCCATGAAGGAAATGGAAATTAAAACCACAAAGAAGGTCTAGCATGGTGGCACACTTCTACAAACCCTGCTACTTGGGAAGCTGAGGCAGGAGGACCTCAATTTGAGGTCAGACTGAGTAATTTAAAAGCCCGCTTCAAAATAAAAAAATACAAAAAAGGGCTGAAGATGTAGCTCAGTGGTAGAGCACACCTGGGTCCAATTTCCAGTACTGCCAAAAAAAAAAAAAAAAAAAAAAAAGAAACAGAAAAAAATCCACAATGAAGCCAGGTGTGGTAGCACACACTAGTAATCCAGCTACTCTGGAGGCCAAGATAGGAGGATCACTTGAGTTCAAAATCAGCCTGGGCAACATAGTGAGACTACTCTCCTTCCCTGTCTCAAAAAAAAAAAAAAAAAATCAAAATATGCCACTTCACAGTCACTAGGATGACTAGAATAAAAAAGATACTGGGTTGGGGGTATAGCTTAGAGGTAAAGCACTTGTCTAACATGTGCAAGACCTCAGGTTCCATCTGTAGCACTGCCCCCTTTAAAAAAAAGGGGGGGGGATATGGTAACAAGTGATGCTGAAGATATGAAAAAAAATTAGAATCCTCAAGCATTGCTTGTGGGAATCTAAAATAGTACAGTAGCCTTCTTAGAAAACTGTTAGTTCCTTGGAGATTAAACATAGAAGTACTAGGAGTCCCATTCATTCCACTCCAAAAGAAATGAAATTAAATGTCCATTGAAAAACTGTACATGAATGTTTATAGCAAACTTATTAATAATAGTTTAAAAGAATGGAAACAACCAAATGTTATAAACAGACATAAGTGGATAAGCAAATGAGTTATTTGGATACTAGAAAGTACCCTGAGGTTAACAAAATGAATAAATTTGAGCCCAGAATGAAAGGGCCTATAATCCCAGTTACTCAGAGGCTGAGGCAGGAGGATCAGTAGTTCCAGGCAACATGGAAAACTTAGTAGAGTGCAAATATTAATGCATACTCCAACACAAATGTCACTGGAAATAATTATGACAAGTAAATAAAGTTAATTACAAAGAACACATGTGATTTTATTCCAAGTACAGAAAGCTATAGCATCAGAAAGTAAATTAATGCTCGCCTAGAGGCTTAGATAAAGAAGTGAAAAGATAGGAGATGGAGAGCTAAAGAGCATAGTTTCTTCTTTATTTCTTGTAGTTGTTGTTCTGGGGATGAAACCCAGGCACTTTAGTGTTCTAGGCAAGCACTCTACTACTGAACTTCACCCCCCCCAGCCCCTAATTTTAAATTGATACCTAATGACACACATTTATGGGTTACCATATGAAGGGATTTCTCTATGAGGTGTTGAAAATGTTCTAAAATGACGGTAATTAACAGAGCGTGGTGGCCTGTGCCTGGTAGTCTCAGCTACCGTGGAGGATGAAGCAGGGAACCTAGAGTTTGCTTGAGCCCAAGGAATTCGAGGTCAACCTGGCCAACCCAGTAAGACTCTCTCAAAAAACAGAATAGCCGCCCGGTGGCGTATGAAACACGAAGAT